CCGCCCCAACATAGCCTGTTTACTGGGTGCAGCTGAAAAGTATGCCAAACAGCAGCCAGGAGCAATGATTACAGGAGAAAGGACAACCAGGCACTGAAGGAGGAGAGCGAGCAGAAAGGCCAGGGATGGTAGCAGCAGGGAGCTTGGGAATGCAGCCCCTTTAAATCAGCCCAGAGCTGGTACACCCTCCCTCATGTCTCCATCTTTTAATGCAAAAATACCTTATTAAAAGGTCAGATTCAACACAAGATGATCAATATCTTAAAAGGCTTTTAATACAAGCTTACTACAGTTTCATATGTGGCATTGATTCATGTCTCCATTCTATCACTTCTATTTTTTTATCCTCCCTCTGAGAAATTGATACTCAAGGAAACCAGACTGCACAAACCTTTTTTGGATAGTCCCACTGATTTCAGTGCAAGTCCTTATATAAACAATGACTATAGACCTGGGTTTAGAGTATACGGAAGAGTTTGAGGATGACATTTTATTTTTTCCAGGACCTTTTGTTTTCTAGTAGTGCTGATCTTTCATTTGTAGCAGAGGTGAAAATGGCTTCTATCTGCCTGTCATAGACCATGGGACAAATATCAAGGACAGTTCAGTCACTGACGTGTACCATCATAATTATGTTAATTATGTTTGTCATTAGCATTATGCTTGGTCCTATGGACTTAGGTTAATTTTAAAATCAGTGACTCATTATAGAAGTGAACTAAGATTTATCTAATTTAAAAGTGAAGAGTGGAATTAGACTGGCTACTTTAAGTAAAAGTAAATACATCTTGCTCTGTCCCTGGATCTTTTTTCTAATGAAACTGCAACAATTCAAGTACAATAAAAACTTTGTTATCCGGCAACCATGGGGAATGGAGGGTGCTGGATAACAAAATATGCCAGTTAACTGAGCAGCCCAAACAGGCATCTTTGCCTGTTTGGGCCGCTGCCTGTCCCGCCACGTTCGGGGTGTCGCCACCCCTCCCGCCGTGTTGCCACCTCTCCCGCGGGCCCCGAGGGACAGGGAGGGGGGTCCTGTGCCAGCTGCTATGCTCCGGGCCCTGGGGGCTTGGTAGCGCAGGCTGCTTTCCCTGGGGCTTTGGGCCCTCCGTGCACTGTAAGTGCCACAGTTCCCTTACAAGCCAGCATGTCAGTTAACAGAGTTTGCCGGCTTATAAGGTGCCAGAAACCTCAGCTTTTACTGTATTTGTGAAATTGCTACATGGTTTACGGCAGGGATGTTCAACAGAGGGTTAGCATTTCTCTTTACATCTTTCTTTTAGGCTACATCTTTTCTGAGTGGATGAAATGGAAATAATTCTTAATACTATACACATACACTTGTAGTACAAAGGCAGGACATAAGCAAAACATCTACATATTTAAACGACTGATACATTTGCCTACAAGTAACACAGTAAAAAAAAATAGTTAACTTTTCAATGTGAAAACTGCGGACCCTCCATCTTCTGCACAAGAGGACCTATATCAACTGACTCCTCAGTTAAGGCCAGTCGAAGTGAGCGAGTGAGGGCCTCATCTGTAAGTGAACATAGGTACTGAGATTTTATAGACTTCATTGTAGAAAAGGCACTTTCGCATAGGTACATACTGCCGAACATTGATACAATCTTTAAACCAAGGTCCCTTAAATGTGGAAAGCGATTCTCTGGTATAAGTTTAAAAAAGTCCTGGCCTATTTCTCGTCTACCAGCTAAGAATGGGTCAGCTTGTAGATCGCACAGCTCAAGCTGTATTTTGGAAGACTGATTTTCAAGCACAGATCCAAGTGGGTTGTTGAAAAGCATCAGTGTGTTTTTCAGTAACTCCAATTCGGTAAAGCGATTGTCAAATTCTTTCACCATAGCATCTACATTGGATGAGAATTCCAAAAAGTTTACACCTTCAAAATTTTCCATTTCTTTCTCCAGTTCCTTGCAAGATGGGAAATGTATAAGATCACCCTTTTCAAGACCAACCTTGAACAGTTTTAGCTTTCTACGAAACCCATTCACACATCCAAAGAGGTCTGATATTGTATTGTTCTTACTCTGCAACTTTAAATTTAATTCATTTAAGTGAGTGGTAGTATCTGTCAAGAAGGCTAATTCGGCCAGGAACTGGGGAGACAAAAATCTTTCTTCAAGCTCTGTGGTGTCAGTTTTCACTTGTTCTTTTAGGAACACTGGAATTTCTTTTCTGAGAGCAAAGAACTTTATGAGAACCTTACCAGCACTTAGCCAATGAATTTCGGAATCCAGAGGTAAATCTCCATACACCGACTGCATTTCTTCCAAAAATGAGTGGAATTTACTGTTTAACAAAGATTTATTTCCACCACAAATAAGACTGGTAACCTTCACAACAACTTTCACAGCTTCAGCTTGTTTCACCCATTTCCCACACAAAGATTCTTGGCGAATCACACAGTGAATCATGGGGCATGTAACACCAGACTTCTTCAGAAGATCTGATAATCCAAATTCAGAACCGATAACAGCCCTACCACCATCTGTGGCAATACAGGTACATTTCTCAAAACCACCATATTCACTCACACTCTTCTGAAGAGCTTCAAATATATCTGTTCCCTTTGTAGTGTCATGTAATGAGACAAGAGACAGCAACTCCTCCTTGACTGAGAAATCTTCCTCCACAGTTCTGATAAATATGAGAAGCTGACTTGTATCAGTTTGGTCAGTGATCTCTGCTAACGATAAGGAAAAATAGCGACACTTTTTGACATTGTATAATAACTTTTCGCATACCTGATTGCTCATATCTTCAATTCTTTGGGCTACTGTCTGATGAGAGAGTGAAACTGTTTCAAAGTTTTTCACCATGTTCTCATCCCCAAATGCCCTGGCCATTTCAATTGCACATTTTTTCACTAGATCCCCATCACTGTATGGTTTCTTTGCTTTGGCTAACTGCAAAGTTACTGCATAAGAAGCTGCAGCACTTGATAGCTGTTCAGTATAATCCACTTCCCAATGTTCTGGAAATCTATTATTTTCTTCCTTAATTTTCCTCTTCTTTGACACATGCTTTGCCATCTTCACTCACGCTCACAAAGCAAAACAAAAGAGAACACCACCCCCCCCACCCTCCCCTGGTACAGTTTTTTTGAGCACCTCACTACTGTGCAAAGTGAACAGCGTGTCAGCAGAAAGAGTACAGAGCATACACAAATCCACACTATGTTTCCTAGTAATGCTTCCTCTTATACTTCACGGCATGTGTTCATTTATTGCACTGGTGAGAAATACCAATCGCTGTTCCTCAGAAACACACCAATAATACCAATGTAAAGGTAATAGAACTCCTGTGTTTTTTCCTATATTATATATTTTTCAGCCTTCAATTATTCCATGATCTTCCATAAAGTACAGAGAGATAAGTGGATGTGAAGCTGTCAGCCAAGCCTGAAAAAAAAAACAAAAAACGAATAAGAATGTAGTTTAGAGACCTCCAAGGACTATCAAACAATTGCTCTATTTCCACTACAAGTGGGTTTCTTACAAACAGATTAAATGGAACGGCAGAATAGTTGAGGTTTGATACGTCGCCCTCTATGACAAAAAGAGCAACTAGGAACCTCTAGTAGCCTCAGAAATAATGGATTGTTAAGTGAAGACACAGTGGCCCCAACATTATTGACGGTACCAATATAGCTTTTGAATAAACGTTTATACAAGAACTTAAAACAGAATTCTTCCTATTTTTTCCACTAATGGTTTCCACCATATTGCTCGATGTCTGTTTAGAGACATTTAGAGAGATTAAAGGAATGCATAAAAATCATTTAGAAGCAGATGAGACTATAGCCTGAACGAGCTCAGAGAGAAGATTATGTGATCATACCCTGGTCAGAATCAAGACACAACATCTTGGTAATACCAGGTCAAACTATACTTCACTCATCATTGCTTTAGGCACATCTTATTTGCGTCCAATAGATAAACTACTTCTACAGGCAAAAAAATACCATCATCTGAATGGACTCTTAACTCTAGGACTGGAATAATCCTATTCCTGTCCCCTGAGAAGCCACTTTCCAGGATTTTTTCCCTTCCAGTCCCTAACAACTATAATTCATTTGGGGACCTATATACTTTCCCCACAGTAATAATTTTGTTTACAAGAGTGCCCAAAACATTTCTTTTAACAACTTGTTGATGCTTTCCCTGGACAAGCAAGGCAGGAATGACCAGATTTACAAACATTAAAAAAAGAAATACTGGCAAAGTCTGCCTGTGCCTTGGTGCATCTTTCTACACCTACACCACAGACCCGTGATCCGTGCGGCACTTCGTTATTAAAGGGGGCTCTTTCCCCTGCAGTGGCAGTTGCCAACGGATTGTGCAGCAACTTAATGGCACCTCGAGATCCTGTCCAGGGCACTGTGGTGCCACGCAACGTGAGCACTGCTAGGTGCGCAAGCCTGACTCTCAAGACAAACCCGGAAATGTCAAAAACGAATCCACCGCCTTAAAAAGATTCTGACCTGGTCCCGCTTTTCTCAGGTCTTTGCAACAGAAAAACAACTCCATTGCTTGTCTGTAGTCAAAACACAAGTGAGTGCTACTAAGAGCTGGCAGTTTCCAAGGGGGGGTGGCTCGAGTCCCTGGCGGCTACGGACCACCCGCTGTAGCGAGCTCACAACATGCGGTGTCCCGGCTCCACACGGCACCGCCCCGCTGGAAGGACGTTTCCGCTCGTGGTTTTACTGCTTCCCCGTGTGTCCGGGCGGCCGTGGCGGGGAGCGTGCTCGGGGGCGCCGCAGGCCCCGCATAAAACTCAGGGCGCCGCGGACAAGCGTTTGCGGCCGTGCCCGCATCTGAGGGGAGCATGGCTCGGGTTCGCTGCGGCCAGGGCCTCCCGCCCTGCCAGCGCC